AAAAAAAAAAAGATTGTCAGTAGGAATACAAGAGAGTACATGAGTCACGTTCCAAAAGGCTTTTGAGAGATCCACTTACCACTGGACTTAATTTCTCGGACATAATTACTAGGGAACCAGCCTGTTCTGCCATTTAATGTGCCTTCCCACCAGCCTCCTTCTTCAACTCTGGTGACATAAATGATGTCCCCTTTACAAACTGACAGTTCATCTTCATTAGTCTGCTTAAAGTTGAATCTTGCCTTTACTATCAACTGGTGGCCTCCATTTTCCATCATCTCCTAGGGAAATAAAAGCCACACCAGATTAAGCACCCATCTACATGGGGCAGGGGCACAAATGACATGAATTGAGGCAAATAACGTGGGATGTGCAAGGACGGAACCCCAGGTCCACAGCCGTCTTGAGTCTTTAACTTAGGAGTGGGGCTGGGGTGGGGGAGGGTAATAAACGGCGCAGAAGTGCATGCGACCTTTTGTGTTTACGAGAATGTGTATTTTGAAGGGGGCCATAGCTTTCATTCCCCTCTCCCCTCACCAATTGCCTAAAGATACTTGCTAAATGCGCCAGGAAACAAAGTAGAGTGATAAACTATTCCACCCTGCCTCTCCCCAACACCCAGACATGGTCTTACATCATTATAGGGCCAAGATTAAGTACTAATCTACACATAAAATCTGCCTCCCACCTCTCAATGGCTAAGAATATCTTAAATTGGCTGATTTAGTCATATGCAAACATCAAATATCCCGTAGATACCTAAGGTGGAGTTGTTAACCTGTCACGGGCCCCTTTGAGAAGCTGATGCGCACAGGGATCTTTACCTAAACCACCCGTAAGTTCCTGCACAGGAGGTTTGCACACAATTTGAGAGGGTCCAAGGGGGCGCGGAACCGTCATGTTCATCAGCTCCCCAACGGGAGCCGGGAGCCGTGATCTCAAAAGGTTAAGCGCTTTGGAAGTAATTAAAGTCTTTGGAAGTTACAGCTCCTGATGGCTTAAAGCAAGTCGGTGGCTTTTGACAAGGAATAAAGGTCTCCAAAGAGCCAGCCGAGGATGAGGCGGTTCCTCCCAAATAAAAGTTCCTATTAAGACCAAATGCAGAGCTAACTGGGCTACCCCACGAGGGGAGTTCATCATCACAGGCTCAACAGGAAGGCACAGAGAAAAAGCAAATGACAGTAACGATGATGATAGCAAGTAATGCATATTGATTGTCTGTTATGTGCCAGGCACTATCTAGTTCTCCTAATAAGCCAGACGTAGAGGAAATGCCAGCAAGCTGCCATCAGGAAGCCGTTCTAACGACTTCCATTTGCACCGCATTCCCCGCTAAACGAGTCACTCGGTCCCAGGAAGGGAAAGAACTCTGGGACTTCAGCCCCGATTTTCTGACCCTCTGCCCCACATGCCTTTGATGTTTAAAGTAGTTTCACCGGCGACGCCCCAAACGCACAGGACGGCTATCTCGCCACACGGGGAGATGAAACCAGGATATCGATTTCATTTGACAGACTGTGAAACAGGCAAGGGGAATTGGCTTCTCTACTTACCACTGCCTTTGACTGCCTCTGCAGCCCTGGAGCTGTGCTAACAACTGCTCCCTGTGGGCTTGTCTGAGAACTATTAGCACTAAGAGAAGAGGAACGTCCACATGGTCTTTCTGATAGCTGATCTGTGAAAAGAGGAAAAGGCAAGATAAAGGGAGCCACTCATGTCAGAAGCACGTCTAGAACATAACACAATCTTTCACGGACATTAGCACGGGCGCCCTGGCCGTAATCCTCACGGTTACCATTCGGAACGTGCCAAGTGAATTTCCTCCCCCCGCCTCCCATTTTGGTGGCCAACTTCTTCATAGCCTTACTGGCCATCGCTGTCCAGTAGAATGAAAAACAGCGACAGAGCCACATTTTCTCTTAACCCATTTCCCTACGACTCTCCCCTCTTGAACCGGTTGAGACAGTACGCCCTGTTATCCAAGGCAGAACTATATTGGGTACCAAACAGCTGTTTGTGGCTCTTATTACTTTGAAATATTTCAAACTTCTCTCTTTGTGTTTTGGCCCTTAACTGGGTGGTTCTTGTCTTCCTCATATGCGGTAACGTGTGTAGTGTATGTAATGTAAATTCTCACAGAAACTGGGGGTGCGGCGGTGGGGGGGGCGGTGGGCGAGGCGAAGGAGAATCAGAGACAGAGTGTGTCTGGGAAAGATGCGATCTTCAAAAATTACACTCGAGAATCTTCTCTTCCTTGAAACCTTGTGAAATTCGATCAGACCAGCGCTGAGCTGGGTGTTTTCCGTATGCTGGCTTCTCGACAAATTCAAATGAGGGCTTTTTTCCTCTCCGTTTATTTTTAAAAGACATAAACTGCAAAAGTCTAAAGCCCAAACATTCCCTAGGCGACAAGCTCAGTCTCCAAGTAATTTCCTTGATGCTGTGGGTTTTAACTTTCACCTCCTTGTATTTTATAAATATCCGCGGCAAGGGAAGAGACTATAAAACTTGCTAGCAGAGTTTGGCAAAGGAACGTATAATTTGGATGGCATAATGCTAGAATGATACGATCCTCCCTGCCTAGCACTGGCTAGTTGTCATATGTCTTAAATATAGTTACTCGAATTAGCTGTACTTCTGCTATACGCCTTTGCAATAGCTCAAAAGCCTCCTTTTTTTTTTTCCCAAATAGCAAAAGAACAACTCTAGAGAAGTATTTTTACATTTATTGCTATTATGTACAGCTCTTTTGACTAAAACTATAATTACTTGATAGCTTCCTAGATGCTCCATTCTATTTGGCACTCGACTATATTGTCTGCTCTTGTGCGCTAATTGTTTCACGCGGGTAAGTTGAGTCTCCCTAAATAGATGGTAATTTTCTCAGGGGCGGGGACCATATCTTACACTTCCTTTGTAGCACCTGGCGGTGCTGGGCACACAGCCTGTGGACTCTCCAACAGTCTGAGCACCAAGACCTATGTTTGGGGGGCGGTCAGTCCGATGTGGGTTTGAACCCCAGCTCTGCCACTTACTTCCCGGTTGGGCAACTGTGGGCCGGACTTCCCTTATCTGTAATACGGACCTAATAATAATACCTACCCCCAGGGTCATTTCAAAGAGGAGACCACCGATGATTCTTAGAATTGCTTAGACCCATGGTGAGGGCTCAGTGCATCTCAACTATGCTTATTCCCACCCAGCTGTACGAAAGATGTTGTCTCACAGGAGTAAGGTTATACTCCAAGGCTATGGGGCGTTTTCTTCACATTTGCTAGGATTTATAGTTAATGCCTCCAATGTGGTGGGTATTAAACATTTAAATAAAAAATATTCTTTTCACTCACTACGACCCTGAGGTTTCGTTTCCAGTGCAAGGTTACTGACAAGTTCTTTTTTTCTTTTTAAAGTATGTGGATTTCTTTTTTTTTTTTTAATGTTTATTTGATTTATTTTTTGAGAGAGAGATTGACAGAGTGTGAGCAGGGGAGAGGCAGAGAGACAGAGGAAGACACAGAATCCGAAACGGGCTCCAGGCTCTGAGCTATCAGCA